TCGTATGGCTGTATAGACCTTCTAAAACATATCCAGAAGGCCAACTGTTTCAAGACCCTTTTTCATGTGCTGGATAAAGTGGGGCTGGTATTTCCCAAGTTCATCTTCCATCAAAGTTCTGACGAATGCAATAGCATGACCTTTATAGATGCACTTGCGATGGCCGTCAACATCAAGTTATTTACTCTCTTTGTAAAATCTAGCAAACACTCAATGCCCCCTTGAGGGCCCCAGACGCCGGGAAAGAACTCTCCTAGGGTCAGACCTCAGTGACCCAATAACTCATTAGCTCCACAACTCTTTAGAGCTTCAAGAAGAACCAAGCCTTCCTTACGTGAGATCTCAACACCTCGCAGTTTCTCCAAACTTAACAATTTTGCTTTAAGGAGAGCTGTGAACTCCTCAAAGCTAGGGGGCAAGGAGAGTATAGAATAATAAAGGGGAGTATAGAACGATTTAGATACACATCAATAACAGTGATTCAGAGAGCAGATCAGATTATATTAAACAGTCACAAAAACAAGGTGTATTCAGTAGTTACTTTAGCAACTTAGAAAGGCAGCACAAATGTATATTAAAAGACATGTAGGTACACTTCCTAGCAAAAGTTAAAAAACAAAAAAAAGAAAAGAGAGAGAAAAGGGAGAAAAAAAGGAGAGTCATAAGTCTTTGTATTAGGAGCAGGAGAAGGAGAGCCTAGTAGCTCAGCAGCAGAAAGTTCTGGCAAATCAGAAGATAAAGCCTCTGGCAGGGCAGTAGTTGATGTTCCTGGTGGATCAACAATTGAAGCCCCCATAAGCCCTGAAGCAAGCAAGGGAGGAGAAGTTTCAGGGGTCCCAGAAATAGGAACATTAAACCCAGATGATAGTGAACTTAAGGCTAGAGCCCTGAAAACGAGATCAGCCGAAAAAGGGGCAACAACAGAAATAGCAGAGGAGGCAACGAGAACCAAATCTGCTTCAGGAAGGAGATCAATGACTACAGGTTGAGGAACATCTTGATCCATGACCTCAGTAGGCACAGTAGAAGTCAAAATGTAGCTAGGTGGAATTTTAGTAGCAGGAGATTCCAAGGCGCCGCCCATGCCCTCTGATGTGATTCCCTCTGCCTCTTCCTCAGGAGGGATGTCAAAATCGAAGTCTAGACCAGGGTATATTTTTTCAGCCCAATCTTGGAAAGCAAGCCATCTGGTGACCCACTTTGTAGAAACATCATCCCTCAGCTTGGTTATTGTATCATCCTTCTTGATAATGGTGGCCTCCTTCTCCTCAAGCTCTCTACGAATGACATTGTTCACCTCAGACACGTTGTCATACTCTTTTTTCATACTCTTGAAAGAGCATAGGGCATCGAGGGTTTCCTCGCAAGCTTTGACCTAAGCATTATCCTTAAGCTCGAGCTCCTCTCTGATCTTTCGCTCCTCGCTTTTAGCCCTCTCCTTCCCTGCCTCCAGGTCTTGGATAATAGAGACTTGCTTCTCCACCTGCTTTTGAAGGTCCTGGTTCTAGATGCGAAAATCCTCATTACTAAAAGACAGTTCAGCAACTTTGAGCTCGTAGGCCTTTGTAACCTTAGCTGAGCCCTCTAAAGATCAGATCCTGCCCATCAAACCCTTCACATGGAGGGCTAGCTGGGAGCAGGTAGAAAGAAAACAAAGGTCAGCATCAGTTTGTAGCATACAGAAGAAAAGGAAAAAAGGAGAGAGATAGACATTTACAACAGTTGCTCCATGGAGAGCTGAGCTGATAAAAGTCTCAAGAGGCATGGAGGAGGCTCTGTAAACGACGAATTTAGGAAGAATATAACTAAGGGCCCTAGTAGCGAACTCGATATTGTCAAAAAAAGAGCCTTGGTCACTCTCCACTTTGAGGAGTTTCCCCTTCTCAATTCTGGAGCTCGTATGGTGTGACAGGGGAAGCTTCTTGGTTGACGCTGGAGTCGGGCAGTACACGGGTAATCATCCCCAAGGCCCTGTCGACCTCAAAAGAAGAGGGGGAGGTCTAACCATGCTCAAGGACCTCACTGGGAAAAAGGGGATCACCTTCTACAACTTGCGGAGTGGACGAAGGTTGATTGGTTAAGGTTTGGGTCGAAACAAGGAAGCTGGAGGACACACTCGTCTTCGGTATCTTGGTTGGAGGAGCAACTTTGCTGTTAGAGCCAACCTCAACCTTCCGTTTGTTACCACTCTTGGTCTTCTTTAACTGAGAAAGTTTAGCCTAGAGCTCGGCTGTGGAAGGCTTCATCGCAAAAGAACCTAAGAGCCCAAAATGGGTAAAAATATATAAACAGGGTGCAAGAAGAAAATGGAGAAGCTAGAGGTGGAAAGGTCAGGGTATTACTAACTACCTCCTCCCCGCTGACAACAAAGAGGGGAATCGGGGCTTCTATCATTACCTCTAGAAGACTAAACCCTTGCGTTACAAGAACCTAAGGTTTGATAAGCTTGGAGTATCTCTCTGAATTACAGCCCTCTAGGGACAGCAAAGCCTGCCTATCTGTAACACAGAGTTTAGGTCGAATACTTGAGAAGAAAAATAAGATAAGCAAAAAAAGTCAGTACAGAAAGTCATCAAAGCTAATCTTAGCTCACTTAGACAAGGGCTCACCCAAGTTATCAGGGGCTTTCTAGACCTGAGGGATGGGAAGAGAATCTGAGATGTCTGCAGGATTGTATTCCCGTTGATTGCCCCCCCCCCCCCACGAAGAAGAAAAGTTTTTTCTAGCCCTTGTGGGAGCTTGGGAGGTCAAAGATGATCACTTTGGCTTTAACCCGTTTGGAAATATACAAGAAATCATCGGAAGGGGTGTACTTAACATTAAAATACTCCATAAGCAAATAGACAGTGGGAACCCCAAGTTTATGTTTCCTAAAGAAAACAAGAAGACCCACTAGAATACCCCAGAAGTTGGAGGAGAGCTGAGCAGGGCAGACATTAAAGTGTTGCAAAATACTCTTGATAAATGGGTGCATAGGAAAGCGAAGGTCATTCTCAAAGGCGGGCACAAAAAAACAAACCTTCTTGTGAACCTGAGAGATGTATAAGGTGAATTTATCTGGGCACCATTATTGGACACCAGGAGGAAAGCCAAAACGAGCAATAAGAACTTTCATATAGGAAAGAGAGATCTCACCAGAGCCCACGAGTTCTGCAGTTCTAAAAGCAGCCCCCTACACCCTCAGTGCTGCCTGACATTCCAACGCCACTCACATTGGCCTTACATTTGTTAGGGTTTTTGGGCACGGGGGAGGCTGATGGGGGAATTTCCTCAGTTTTTCCCTCGACATCAACAGAATCAACACTGGGGAATTTGTCAATCTCTTCACTCACATCACCTAAATCGGAATCCTCCTCAACGGACCTATTCCCCAGAACAGAAACAGAGGATGGGGTAGCTCCGGAAAAGGCATACATTATTGGGCAGGAGAAAGGAAGTTTGAAAGATTTGTAAAGAGGAGGAACTTATGAAAAACACTCCTTGAGGTTCAGGGGGCAAAAAACCAATGACCAATGGTGAAAATCCTAACGGTGGAGTAAGGATCTAGGAAAAAGGGAAGGAGAGACAAAGAAAATCCTCGATTCTTAAAGTAACAGAATTGAAAGGTCCAGAAATGCAGTAACCACCTCAAATTTGAGGGATCCAGAACGAAGAAACGTGTAAGGGATAGGAAATGTACCTAATCAAGGATGGATGGCAAACCAGAATTTTCTCATTGAAAAAAAGAGAACGAGTCTCACTAGCCAATTAGAGAAAGGATGAGATTCAGCAAAACCCTAAGATCTCAAGTGGATTGGGGAAACAGGGGATGCAATGAAGAAGAAGAGCCTAGGGAGAGAATTCAAAGACCGAAGTAAGGACTATTCCCCTTTAACTTAGTGGCATTTAAAGTTAACAGTACAAAGTGGAGAATGTGCACGAGAATCAAGAAAAACATGATTGTTGAGAATCATCAAAAGGAATCCTTCGGACACGTAAATCGAGGTCGACGTGGGATACGGACCAGCTTTAGTACAGCTCAGCCCCCGTCGAAGCCAGGTTGGACCAAGGGCTGGGGGCAACTGATGATATGTGAATAAGAATTTTAACCAAGTATGAGCTCGAAAAGCGAGATCAGACAAGGAGGATAGACAAAGAGGTCAGACGGGGAGTTCAGAGCTCTGAAGCCCAATTCCCGAGCTCCTCTCTGATGAGAAATCAAAGGAGCCAAGGAAAGAACAACTGGTCAGTAAGAAGAGTCCACATAACAGCTAAATGGCAGTGATCAAGGCGTGAAACTCTCAACCATCCAAGATCCCCTCCTAAAATCAGGAAAAGTCCCACGGATGAAGAGCATGGATCTCGCTGCAGATCCCTTAGAGATACAAATTGTGCTATAAATACTGTACAGTGCCTCCTTGAGAGGCAAGAAAAACCTAATACTATCAGAAATATTTTGCAAGCCATATTGACCATCAATATAGAAAAAAAAAAGAAAAGAGCCTCTATTAAAGAATGGACTAGCTGAACTCCTGAGCCGGTAAACCACTATATTTTCATTGTGTAAACTACTCCAATCCCCCAAAAATACTTCTCACAATCCTCGTGAGTCTTGTGGCTCAGATCTAAGCTACCAAGCATAATCTATACCTTCTGCTCATTCACGTTAATTTACACCATCACATTCCCATTTATAATATTGTGTCATTTCAGGTTTGGGCAATGTATAAGATGTGATTAGTGAGTCCATACAGTATTCATTTGTGTTAGTATTGAACTTTTTATTAACCCGTTATCCTTGACCCGCTAGAATATACCAAAACTTACAAATTCTCGTATCTAGAGCTAGGCTTACTAATACTATACCATGTGTCCACGACCAGATCAATTACTTGACATTTCTCCTTGCAATTTCCAAGAAAATTCATGCACAGCCATGTGTATATATGCTATCCACATTCTCATAAATCAAGATCTAAGTTCTATGCATCATGTCTAGCAACTACCAGGCTATAACCAGAATGGCTTTCCCACTCACTTCTGAGTATACAACTTCTAAACCAACTATTTTCTTGCCAACTACACTCATTTCTTTTCTTCTCCTTTACAAAGGAATCTTCGCATCTTCACAGATTGAAACCACGAGCATCGGAGCAATCATTGACGATAATACTCATATCGGAAAAGAAGTGAACGCAGCCATAAAAGTAGCTGCTCAAACCTTCAACAGCTCCTCTATGTATCAAAGAGTATCTCTTCATTTTCACAACCTTGGTGGAAATCCCCTCCAAGCAGCTTATGCAGGTTTTATCCTTATTGGTTTTTCCTGATTCTTGTGTTTTCTAACTCACACACACAAAAGCATGTACACTATATGGTTGGTTGATTCTTGTGGAAATTGGGATTTAAAAATTAATAAATTATATTAAGCTAAGAAGGTCTTCAAGCTTTCAACAGTCTAACTTCTTATCATTCAGCTGTATAAGAAAAAATGGAAGTGTAGGATAAATTATATTTGGGTAAATTACACTTATACCCGTTGAACTATCACCCTTTTTTACCTTTGCCCCTCAACTACCAGATTTCTCACATTGTACCCTCAATTATGTGATTAGTTTCACATTACCCCACTTATTAACATCTGTCACATATTTAACGGAAAATTATTTCATTTTTCCCCTTAAACTATGTAATTTTTTTTCTTTACCCCTACACATCAACAATTTCTGTCCAAAAAGATAACAGATGTTTGTGCTTGGAGAAATGTGAAACTCAAGTGTTAGTTGAGGGTGTAATATGAGAAATATGATTGTTGAGGGGCAAAGAGAAAAAATGATGATAGTTCAAGGGGTATAAATGTAATTCATCCATTATATTTTGGCCGCCTCAACCATGACATCTATCTTGTATTCTCCCCTCAAGTGTCACTTTTCACATATTTCATATTTACTTATGGTTATTTGGTTTCTCAACCCTGATATTTTTCACATTGAACATCCAACTATTGTTATTGGTTTTACAAACATTAAAAACATGCAATTTACTTCATATTGGAACAGCTGCCATCCAAAACATATTGGGTGTTTACCTTTGGAGAGGGTGATGTGAAAAACTTGGAGTTGAGGGAATAAAGCGAGACTGGATTCATACTTGAAAGAGTCAAAGTATAATTTATATATAATTTCTTTTCAGTAACAATAAAATTAACAATCCAAAAGTTGGTGATCTTTCCGGGCAATTAATTAGCCTTTTCGTAATACTACGAAATCTTCTAACATTAAGAAATTTTTTATTGATGTTCTTTTCAAGGGTGTAAGTGCTGATAGGAAAGAAACTAATGGTAGAATTATTTGGATTACCTTTGACCCTTTTTTTTTCAAACAGCTGAAGAGCTTATTAAAGAGAATAATGTGCAAGCCATTATAGGCATGGAGACATGGGAGGAAGCATCATTAGTCGCTGAAGTCGGAAACCGATCTCAGGTACCCATTGTCTCTTTTGCATCAGTCATCCTCCCACAACCACTAACGCCGCCTCGGTGGCCTTTCTTGGTGCAATTGGCTACCAATGTTACTGAACAAATTAGATGCATCACGGAGATTGTTTGTTCATTCAATTGGCGAAAGGTCATAGCAATCTATGAGGCTGACTACTATGGAACCGATTTTGGAATATTTTCTGCATTATCTGATTCACTCCAAGATCACGGCGTAGAAATTGAATCAAGCCCATAAAATATATATATTTGTGAGGCTGACTACTATATATATATATATATTTGTATTTTTGTCAAGCTTTTGATGTTGTCCCAATATTATCTTCATAAATGATTGGTGAAGGCCTCCAACACTATCTAAATGGATTAAAACAGTATTCAACCCCTAAATTTTAGTCTAACTTTCAATCAAGCCCATAAAATTTCTTGATTTTGCCATCCTGCATTTAAGTTGTCTAATTTAGTCATTCATTCCTTCTCCTTGGAAATCTTGATGGAAAACAAATTATTTATTTATTGCGTTTGTAAATATTCAATTTTTTTTCACTTACTAAGATACGGTTAATGAGTGAGATTTCATCTAGTATATTTTTTTTCAATTTTTTGACTTTGTTGATCAACTATTGTAAATACACGTGGACTCAATTGTATATAATTGGGTTCCTTACCCATTCGTTTGCTCAGTCAACCTTTTTTTTTACAAGTTGACTTGCCAAAAAAATATTTGTGTTCTTTAGTAAGGAATAACTGTCATTTTACCCTTAATCTAAGTAAAATGTTTGCTTGTTATTCCATTCAGTAACTTTAGCACCTTTGAAATCCATTAGGATTCGGCACAAAAAGCAAAACAAACAAAAACAATGTTAGGTTGATAAGCAAATCCACAAGAAAAAAAATCCATACCCCACCGCAACAAATCCCAACTTTAGCATGATCTAAAAGAGGTAAGTGGTAACTAATCTTAACTTCACTTGTTTGGTCAAGAGGTATGCAAATGTTCTTTTCATTTTTAACTGATTTTAGAATATCTCAGTTATTCAATTGTTTTACTACACTAAATGATTAGTTTGTGAAGTGGTTCATGCGTTTACAAGAAATTTTTGGTATAAACTGGTTATTAATAACAAAAGGACCTCAGAGGAGGAGAACAAGCCCAATGCAATATACATCACATGCAATCCAACTAAGCATCAATGCTCTCTCTCTCTCTCTCTCCCCCCGTGCTTCGCAAAGCTTCTCCTAAAATATTTTTATGATCTTTGGAGAAGAAAGTAAATTTATTCACAACACATGTTAGAACTCAAACTTTGTGTGGTAGTAATTAGTTATTTGAAAAAAAATCCGACTCACCTCACCTCGATTATTTTGTACATTACTTGAAATGGCCACGTATGGCGGAGTTTTCCATGATGAAACTTTGCTGAGCAACTACAAGGAAACAGCCTTTTAAAAACTACTTATATGGTCTGATGTGGAAATGGAGATAGCTTTGTTGGTTTTTTGTTTCAATGGAAACAGTAGTACGCCCTTCAAGTTTAGGTTATGTGGCAATCAATTCACTCTAGTTTCAATTTAACCAATTTGCCCATTAAAATTTCCAGATGACTAAATTAGTTAGTGGATCAAAAACATAAAATTCCTAAAATAACCTCAACCTTAATGTTATATATTTCTTTCCGATGTACACACACAATTGTGTGTGTGTGCGCACACGTGCGCCCACATATATGTAATTTTGAATTTTTATTGAATTTTAGTTCATTTGAGATTATTGTGACTAATTTTGTTATATATGACGATGGCCAGCTAATAGAAGAAAGTTAATTGAAAAATATTTTAACTTTAAGGCGTAAATTGTATAAATTAAAATTAGAGGGAGTTGATTGATACACAACCCAAATTGGATGGGACAACTTGCAATTAACCCTTGTAAAAAGCTTAATAATCGACGATTATTCAAGTTGATTGAAACTAAGTTTGAGATTGAAATAATGCAGACTTGACCAACTGATCATTACATTATATATATTTTACTTTGAAAGAATCGAGATTACATCGGGACTTGTAAAAATGTCCCTTCTCGATCTAGACTTTTAAATAACACTATTCTTCGTAAAAATATAATCCTCTTATTGGTGCAAGTCAATAATGTCATGTAGCAGGACAAAAACTCACAACCTCAAAAGTCATAAGATAGTTTCCTTCTCTGCCAATTGTTTTCATAAGTAAATTTCTTGGAATCTATTGTGGGATTCTTCATATTATTCTAAATATTGTCATCTCACAAGGCTCAATAGAGCTGGCACATAAAACTTATCTATACCCGAGTTCTTTCTTGTATGACTCTTTAATTAATCACGATGTAGGCATATCTCGATATGTTAGACTTAAATTCTAAATAACTACAATCGTTCATTGATCACTGATGGCTGTTAAAATCAAGAGACAAGTTTCAGTAAAACTCAGAATATTTGAATTTAGAATTACTCCAAACTTACTCCCACATAAGTGACCTATCTGAAAAATTATGACTTAATCTTAAAATATTATAGTTTTGAGCACAATACCTTCTTCATTACTGTACTTGTCCTTTAACTTCAGAAAATATACTCTTTTTTTTTTTGGGCGGAGGGAGGGGGAGGGGGGAGACTAGGAGGTGGAAGAGACTTTTAACCCTTAACCTTAAGAAGACAAAGCCTTCACAAGACAAAAAGTATCATTGGACCAAAGACCGGTTGGTCCAAAACTATACTCGCCCTTTATCTCAATATGCAAAGTCTCATGATAATTGTATCAGGACATGCAGGGACGGAACCAAAAATTTATCATGAAGGGGGCCAAACAAAAATAGTGGCACAATTAATAATTTAATGAAATGAGATTATCCAAAAAGTTACTATTTGTGTTATATTTTTTATTATGAACACCCTATCATTGAATAATACTATCACAAAAACTCAGTTTGTAAAATTCAAAAACTATTTATTATTTATCATTAGGAAATTCAAAATATAACTATTTCACAAATCACTTATTCCCTCTTTTTTCACATGATGCAAAAAAATTTGACTTATATACCATCGTAAATATTCACATGATATCATTGTAAACGTAAATTATGAATTGGTACATTATTGATGATATAAAGTCACATTTTTACCTTGATTTTGTAACACATTTCTTTCTTTTTTATGTTGGTTATCAAATTTGCCCAAACAACTATTTTTTTCTATAAGAACCCACTCATCCATATCCCTGTGAACAATATTTCCTATTTGGTTAGTAAATGTTTAATCTCATGGTATTATGTATTTTGATACACTAACTGAATATACTTTATACAATTTTTTTTAAAAATAAAAAAAACCTACAAGGACATAGAATTCTTGAAAACCTACAGGGGAAATAGGGTAATTTTAAAAATCTGAGAGGAGGGGGGGGGGGGATGGTCTCCATGTAGTTCCGTCACTGAGGACATGGCGTGTTCGGCTCTCAGCCAAATATCCATTAGGCACTGAATATTTTTCCATATATCGGTAGGGAATAAATTTTCACAGTTACAAAAAAATTACCACATGGTTGACATAACAATGGTTCATTTTCGCAGCCCCGGTGAAAATCCCCTCCAAGCAGCTTATGCAGGTAATTAACCTTGTTGGTTTAGTTTCTTGACTCTCATGTTTTCTAACTGGTGCACAGAAAGCGTGTATACTAATAGATATATGGTTGGCTGATTTTTGTGGATTTAAAAATAAACAAAAGCATTGGCGTAAAGTGATGTGAAATCTTGTAAAGAAGTACTTCTAATTTTTTCAAAAGATGTTACTGAAGTAACAAGAATGTCAAACGGTACGATCTAAAAATGTGTTGAAAATTTCAACTCCAACTTCCTTGAACCTTCAACTATTATTACTCATTTCACATTAACCTCAACCTTGACATTTGTCATATTAAACCGCCAACTACAATTATTCATTTCATAGTACTACAATTATTGACATTGAATTTACATAAAAAACGTGTTGGACCATTAGTTTTCGGTTAATATGAAACTAACCCTTCTTGGACATATACTTGATTGGGATACCCGGCTAGAAAATAACTCCATCTCTTGGAAATATACTCGATCGGGATACTCAGTTAGAAAATGACTCAATTTATGTTTTTTGCAAAACTTAACAGTTGAGGGGATAAAGTGAGATTGAGATCGTAGCTAGTTGGAGTGGTCAAAGTATAATTTTCTTGAAACTAATATACATAATTTCTTCTAATTATTTTCAAAAACAATAAATCCAAGTTACCCTAAAGTTCTAGAAAATTATGAAATTAACCAGTTATTGGTGTCCTTTAATGGAGCAAGTTTTGACAGTAAAAAAACTATAGAAGAGATATTTGGATTAACTTTTTTTTTTTTTTTTGACAACTGAAGAACTTCTTAAAGAGAACAATGTGGCATCCATTATAGGCATGGAGACATGGGAGAAAGCAACCATAGTCGCCGATGTTGGAAACCGAGCTCAAGTGCCAATTATTTCATTTGCATCAACTTCAATCAAGCAACTAATAATGCCGTCCCATTGGCCTTTCTTGGTTCAAATGGCAACCAATGTCACTGACCAAATTAGATGCATCACGGAGATTATTCGCTCATTCACCTGGAGAAAAGTCAAAGCAATTTATAAGTCTGAATACTATGGAACTAATTCGGGAATATTTGCTACATTATCTGAATCACTCCTAAAATTCAAGTAATTGAGATTCAAGTAATTTTTCAGGGTACAAAATTGAGATTAGCCCTAAATTAAAAAATAAAAGAAAAACTCCTAAATTTTTCAAATTGAATGATATTGACCATATTCAAATAAAATACCAAACATCGTTATTTTAGTCTACATCAATTCTTGTTGATCACATGAACGAGAATAGAACGGGACTTGCCAAAATTTCACTAGTATCAAAGAAATCTTCTAGATCTAAACTTTACAACAAAAAACATCATTATTAATTTTATAATATAAAATAAGGTACGCTTCAATAAATTATTCTTTAGACATGAGTTATTCCTCGTAAAATTATAATCCTAACAACTTCACAATAGAAGATCCCTTCTTATTGGTCCAAATGTCATGTAGCAAGACAAACACTCAATCCTCAAAAGTCATAAGATTGAATGATTTTAATTTTCTTGTCTACGGATGATATTCATATGTAAATTTCTTGGAATCTTTTAAAAAAGATTAAGGCTACGGTATCTTTGATACCGTGTTATAAAATGATTCGTAAGTTTAATACACATCTTGAATATGTGACGAGAAATCGCTTTTGGGTAAAAACGTGTTGGACCCATCTATAATCACAAGGTACACTGCTTGAATATGTTACTAGAAAGACCCAAAATGACCTCTTAATCACAAGGTACCCATTTTTATTTTTATTTTTATTTTGGGTTTGGTATCAAAAAATATTATTAAAGATAAATTATTTACAATTATTTATGAACCACATCACATTTGGAATCGTTCTTGAAATGTTATGAATTCACCTTTAAAGTATAACTAAAATTTTTAAATTTATTCATTTCCTCCTTTATCAATTTATAATTTTCTATGACGTCTGCATTGCATAAGCCATGATTAGTACGATAAAAAGCTTTTTGATCTAGATTCCAAGATCCCTTCTTGTTGGTCCAAGTCAAAAGTCATACGGTTTAAAATGGTTTTAATTTTCTTATCTGTCGATGCAATTCATGTGTAAATTTCTTGGAACTAACGGGAGATTCATAATATTATTCTCATCTCACACGACACAATATTGTTGTCCGTACATAAGACAAAGTGGGACAAAGGGATCATGAGAAATACCATTTTCTTTTCTTTATTATTATTTTTTATTTTTGGTGATTTGGGAGTAACGAGGAGCAACATGTTACCTTTGGTAGGTGAACCCAAGTACGGCCAATGCATTGAATATTTTTTCCACAGGTGGGAGCAAAAATCCAGAGTTATAATATGTATGTTGAACAGAAACAAACCCCATATCTGCTAATACTTATGGTTGACAGGACAATGACTCAATATCCTAGTAACATTTACGCAATTTTCAAGCAAATTCATGCACTGCCATGTGCATATATGCTACCCAAATTCTCATAATTTAAGTCCTAAGCTCTATGCATTAAATCTAGCAACTAGCAGGCTATAACCAAAATGGCTTTCCCACTCACTTTTGTGTGTACACTCATTTATTTTCTTCTCATTTTCTCCAACTATGGAACCTTCACATCTGCACAGACAAAAACCACGAGCATCGGAGCAATCATCGACGATGGTACTCGTATCGGAAAGGAAGTGAAGGCAGCCATGAAAGTAGCTGCTCAAAAGTTCAACAACTCCTCTTTGTACCACAAATTATCTCTTCATTTTCGCAACACTGGTGGAAATCCTCTCCAAGCAGCTTATGCAGGTGATTACCCTTGTTGGCTTAGTTTCCTGATTCTCTTGTTTTCTAACTGGTACACACAAGCATGTATACTAATAGATTTATGGTTGGCCGAGTTGGGAAATTTCAGCTCCAGCTCCAAATAAATTTATTGTTTGGTACTTTGGTGGACTAACACATGACCTTTAACAGTTTAACTTCCTATCAGATAGATACACAAGTGGGGAAGGATAGAGTAAATTTTAGTTTGACCCCTTAATGATTCCCATTATCTAATATTGTCTCATCAAGAATCACTTTTCTCACATTGAACTTTCAACTATTATTACTCGTTTCACTTTACCCTCAACCTTGACATTTATACTGCCAACTTCTACTTTTTATTTCACATTACTACAATTATAGACATTAAATTTACATCAACAACGTGTTAGATCATTAAATTTCGGTTAATATGAAATTAATTCAGATAGTTGAGGGGACAATATTAAAAATTTAACAATTGAGGGAATAAAGTGAGATTGGGATCATAGCTAGTTAGAGTGGTAAAAGTATTATTTCCCTGAAACTAATAAACATAATTTCTTCTGATCATGTAAGTTTTCAGTAACAATAAATCCAAGTCACCTAAAATTAGTTATCTAGAAAATTAAGAAAACTATTAATTGGTGTCCTTTAATGGTGCTAGTTTTGATAAGAAAAAAAAACTATGGTAGAGATATTTGGATTGACTTCAAAAAAAAAAATTTTGACAGCTGAAGAACTTATTAAAGAGAATAATGTTGAAGCCATTATAGGCATGGAGACATGGGAAAAAGCAGTCCTAGTCGCCGACGTTGGAAACCGAGCTCAAGTGCCAATTATTTCATTTGCATCAGCTTCAATCAAGCAACCGATAATGCCGCCCCATTTGCCTTTCTTGGTTCAAATGGCAACCAGTGTCACTGAACAAATTATATGCATCACGGAGATTATTCGCTCATTCAACTGGCGAAAAGTCATAGCAATCTATGAGGCTAACTACTATGGAACCGATTTCGGAATGTTTGCTGCATTATCTAATTCACTCCAAGATCATGGCGTAGAAATTGAATATTGTCTCGTTCTTCCATCATTTTCCACTCTATCTGATCCAAAAGGCTTTGTTAGTGAAAATGTAGCTGAGCTGTTGAGTAAACAATCCATGGTTTTTATTGTTCTTCAAATATCTTCATCAATGGCTGCTCATTTGTTTAGACAAGCAAAGCAGATGAGGCTTATTGGGAGAGATTCAGCATGGATAATTGCAGACCCATTTGCGAGCCTCTTGGATTCTGTTAATACTTCTGTTATATCCTCCATGGAAGGTGCTCTAGGAATCAAGACATATTTTGTTGAAGACAGTAGGTCTTTTCTGGACTTCAGGCAACAGTTTCGACGAGTTTTTCAATCAGATTACCCTGAGGAAGAAAACTCCGAGATGGGAATTCATGCCCTACGAGCATATGATAGCATTACTACCATTGCAAATGCCATAAACCGAACAGGTAGTTGGCTGAGAATTGAAATTGAAATTTATAGTTTAAAAAGGGGAAGAGAAAATTACGCATAGACCCCTTCTATGTCCCTTGTTTCACATTACCCCTAAACTTTACGCTTTTTAACATTACCTCTTAAGATATTGCTTAAGTTCACATCCGCCCAATCATAACTTTGTTCATTTTTTTCATGATAAATCAGAACAAAAATGACATTCCTCCAAATTAAAGAGAAAAATACTATATCTAACATTGTGGAATTCCATTTTTACTTTGATTTGCTATGTAAATTTGGATAGAAAGTTAACTATTAAAGGAGTATGAAACTCAAATAATTATTTTAAGGTGTAATACGAGAAATTGAATAGTCTAAGGACAATGTGAAATGAGGGGCGTAGTTTAGGGGGTCTAATTATAATTTTTCCATTGAGAAATTTATTTTGATATTTCTTTATTATCTCAGATTTATTTGATTTTATTTCCTAATTTCTAATTTTTCACTTATTTTGGAGTAGAGTTATATTTTGAATATTGGATTTTTGGATTTTGGAGTAGGGGATAACATTAATATTGGTTCTTCTCAATTCTATTACTCTTCTTTAAATTCTTCATAATTTTTTCAATTTCTTCTCAATTTTCTTATTCTCTCCCAATTCACGCTTCTTGGTCTGCAACAGGTAGTAGTAGTAATGGTTTCACTACACTGCTGAAAAGTATTTTATCAAGCAAGTACATTGGTTTAAGTGGTGATATTAGTTTCCATGGAGGAGAGCTAGTTGGATCCTCTCTATTCAGAATTGTAAACGTCGTCGGAAAAAGATACAAAGAGCTCGGCTTTTGGTCATCAGCGATAGGGTTTTCAGAGAGCCTTGTTAATAGAGAAAGTGATCAGAAGATGCGGGGTGATTCCATGGACACATTGGCCGGTTTGGTGAGTTGGTCCAGGGACCTAAAAGTGGATCCACGAGGTTGGCCCATGCATAGTAATGCCACGCCTTTGAAGATTGGAGTTCCTGGAAAAACCACTTTCCCGAAATTTGTGAAGGTGGATTGGAATTCAAATTTGAATAAATGGAGCGTTTCTGGTTTTTGCATTGATGTCTTCTATGAGGTGTTGAATAGTTTGGAGCCTAGTTATCCCCTACCTCATGAATTTGTACCATACAATGGCTCCTACAATGACCTAGTTGATCATGTGGCTAACAAGGTACGTAATAACACTATGCTTAACATCATTCCTTGTAGTCGTCCTATGTGTCATTAATTATCGTATGCACAACTAAAACACATTAGTGAAATAACAATCATGACTCATGCAATGCACAAAATTTGCATTTATCACATGCCAACCTCTGCCCTTAATTCCACTGCTATTATGATATTGTTAAAATCTTAGTTGGTTGAATTTTGATATATGTTTGCTGTTGATTGGAAGAAAAATTGTTTCTAATTTACTAACTCAAAAATACGGAAACTAAACAAATGGAGATGGAAGGTGTCCGTAGCACTCTATGCTCAATTAGATTGCTATATGTGTATTAATGGTAAATATGTGCAATGCATGTGTTTTCCTATCCTTCCTTACCCCACCTACCCTAGCATCCTACCACACCCACCTACACCACCCCACCCCACCCCCACCCCCACCCAAGTTTGTAAGTACCTGTGTTATGGACGCCTTGTACGCTTCAATATAAAAACATGACGAATTCTAATTAAAAATTTCTTTAAGTTTTGGTCCGTGGATAGGCCAACTAGAAGCTTAACCAAGCAAATTTTTTGGGCCCCGTTTCTAGAATCTGACCCGAATAGGAGATTGATGTTTATTGATTTTTGTACTAAATTCTAATTCGGAGATTGATGTTTCGTTTGAGCTATGATCTCGTTAGAATCTGGAAGTGATCTAATTCAATGAGAATACAAGGAATCACTTGTTGTTCTCTTATCTTCGCTTCATAGAACCGTTTGGAAACTTCATCTTCCACTACAAACTTAAGCCGTTGTGCTTTGTACGTGGGCTTAGGCTCTGGAGCCGAACCACCTAATTTCTCGTATTATGTGTTTTACTACTTTAATTTGTTGGTAACTTTTTTGCATAACAGTTTTTTACAAAAACTTATGTTTGAAATGTGTATTATAATCAATTTCAGACATTCGACGCTGTGATTGGCGACGTAACTATACTAGCAAATCGATCAAAATATGTGCAATTTACGCAGCCATACGCCGAATCAAGCTTGTCAATGATAGTAACGGTGACGCCCGAGCATGGAAAGGCATGGATTTTCTTGATGCCTTTCACCATGGAAATGTGGGCAGTGACCGCTGCTCTGTTGCTCTACACTGTGTTCATAATCTGGCTTTTGGAGCGTCAATCGAATCCAGAGTTTGCTGGCCCATGGTATAATCAACTAGCGACTTCACTTTGGTTCACATTCACTTCACTGTTCTTTGCACATAGTAAGTGTCCTTTTCAACAATTACAGATTGTGTGGTAATTCTACATTACTAAACGTTACTATTTTAAAATTAAAGTTACTATTTTTAATGGAAAAGTTACAACTAGGTGATATAATTCATGAGCTATGAAAGTTTTTAAAAATCAAGTTAGCAAAGGAGAAGTTGCAACTCATTCAAGTAATTGATGATTGATCATTAAATACTATGATAGATCATGAATTACTTCAATGAGTTGACACTTTTTTTTTGCGAGTTATAACTTAACATCTAAAAGTTGTAACTTTCATGATCGACGATGAAATTTTGGGAATGATATGCCTTTTCAAGCTATAACTTACATTTCAAAAATTTATAACTTGCACTTGAAAAATTATAAATTTCAATATGGTATCTGCTTCGGTACCATAGTCTTCCCTAGATTGTCACATTCTGATGAGCTTAGTGCCAACATGGCTAACAAAACCTATTAGACCAATCTTGGATGTTGTTTGGGCTGGTCAATTCGAGCTTAATCTGAAACATTTTGAAAGTGGACATAGAACTGCAATATTCGAGTTGGACTTAATGGCTTTACAGGCATAATCCACTTTCAACCCAAATTTCAGCCAACATAGTTTAGATAAGGGAATTAAACCCAAGTGCAACTATATTTTAGCCAGCCCGAACATAAAATTCTGCTTGTGACATGTCACCTGAGTTCAACCCAAGTTCAAAGATCTAAGCATTGACAGTACTCGAATCAATAGTGTGGATTAACTTTGGGTTAGGAGTTTCATAATGGGTTGAGCTTGAGTTTACTCTCTCAACCGGCAAGAGTGCACCCTATGCCAATGTAGTTCGAAAAATTTGGTAAAAAATGGTTTAATTGATTAAAGTTTGCCTCCTTGAACTATATTTCTCATTACAATCAGCTCCCTATAGTTTTAAATGGTACAATTTGTTCCCTCAAGTTTCAAACAGACTAAATTGACTAACAATAGTAGTTGGAACATGAAAGTATCATTAAATCCTCTATCTTGCACATTGTTTTCCATGTTTTTTTTTCTTGATATACCAATTTTACTAAAAAAATAAGAAAACGGAAGAACCAAGACAAAAATAATGTTCAGCCCAACACCAACACACTACACAACATTATGTTTGCCTCCACCCAACACCAACAAATTTGAACACTCACGCGCACAGACCCTTTTCAAGGTTAATTGTATATTTTCAACAAATTATAGGTCACATAAATTTCACATGTTTAACTTATGTCCTTTTTTTATGGTCTAAAATTAACAATTGGAGTTAATTGCAAAATATTCGAATTTAAAGGGCATTATTTCTTGAAATTAAAACCTGAAGGGGTGAGTAACAAACTACCCAAAGTTGAAAGGGGTATTTTTTAACTAACCCTTGATTAAAAAAATGAGGATATGCAATATAGCTTAAGATACTAGGCAAAAGATAATACTATTATAAATCGAGATCCTAGATAATTGCTTTCTTCTCGTATTCTTAGAAGAGTATAGAATATTAGGTTAATCTAACTTTTCACTCCGAAAGAAGTTTCGATTCTTAATTTACTCCCTCGAACATTAAATAACTCAATTTACATCCTCAATGTTATGAATTAGTAGTAATATACACCTATTTCGGACATAAAGATGAGGTATGTTCATCGCTGAAAATCTTCGACAACGATCAATTTAACACCGTTTTGTATGTCAAAAGTAGAATTTCATTAATCAGATAAATTATAACCCCATCTTGTGGTGCCTCTAATATATTTCTATATTTTATTGATGGTCACTACTTTTTTATTCGAACGCATCCGAAGAAGGAAATTTAAAAACCTCCTTCCCCTTGCCATTTAATATGCTTGGTACAGTTCAAGATAGAATAGCCAAATTGGTTACATCTGCTATAATTCTCCGAAAGTGTTGAATGTACTTGGTTTTATTTATTAAATTGCTTTATCAGACAGACCATAACTCAAACACTTGTCGCAATTTCACAGGGGAAAGGGTTCAAAATAGTTACACTCGTGTAGTGGTGGTGGTATGGCTCTTCGTTGTCTTAGTCTTATCCTCAAGCTACACTGCAAGTTTCTCCTCAATGCTCACTGTCCAACGCCTCAAACCGAACATAACAGACATAGAGTGGCTACAGAAGAACAATGCAACAGTAGGTTGTGACGACGATTCGTTTATAAAACAGTATCTACAGAATGTGCTTCAATTTAACCCCCAAAACATCAAGGGCATCAGCAGCGAAAATGACTACATTACCGAATTCGAGAATGGCAATATCATTGCAGCATTTCTTGAACTCCCTGAATCAAAGGCCTTTATGAATCAATTTTGCAAGGGATACACTGTTGTCACACCCACAAATGGAATTACTCACAGATTTGGAGGCTTTGGGTTTGTGAGTAGTTACTGGAACTCTTTATACTATTTTGAATAGGACTACAAATGGACTAAATCGAGCCAAGATCATGACCATTTGGGTCCAGCTTATTTGTTCACATAGAGAGTCCAGGCTTGGCATGGGATCTTTATACTTCACTTGTTTGTTTGCATATAGTATCTACTATATGATATATACATAATATTATATGTTCAGGAGCCTAGACAAGGCGAACACGAGCCTAGGCTTGTTTATGTTTATGTTCACAAGTCGAACACTTGCCTGGACAAGATGAACACAAGCATAGACTTCCTTATGCTACACATGCTGAACATGAGACCTTTGTTTTTTTTTTTTTATATGTTCATCAGCCTAGACAATCCCAACAAGTCATTGATCAGGCTTGGCTTGTTTATTCAACGAGCTTTAAAACTATGTCCGAGCTCAATTCATTTATAAAAATGAACATACTTGAGCAAGTTTGAATACAAAGCTATCCATGGACAGGTCGGTTCATATATGACTCTTATTTTGAATTTTTTTGCTTGTTATAAAAATTAATATCATTATGCAGGTATTTCCAAAAGGCTCTCCAATTGCTGATGTTGTCTCCCAAGCTATTCTAACCTTATCGGAGAATGGTAGGTTAGAACAATTGGAAGCTCACCGGTTTTCTCTTTCTCCTGAATGTTTAAACTCTCAAAAACTTGACAAGATTGATAGCTTGAGCTGGCAAAGTTTTTGGGGTCTCTATCTTTGCTCAGCAGTCACTTCCACCATATGTTATGTACTATTTGCAACTCGCCAGTCATATACGGGACATATTACTTTGATTTATAGCACTATGTTGTACAAGTTGGTTGGGTTAGTAGAGTATTTGCATATCATAGTGAGAAAACTTCAAGGTACAACTCCAAACACTGTTCACGCATTAGGAGTTTATGAATGCAACTCTTCTACAGCGGAGTATACAAGTTCTTCAGAGACTCCGAAGCAATCTCAAGCATCGACATAGCTTGAAGTTCAAATAACCAATCTTGATGAAGAAAGACGTGTTCCTTTGTGACCTAGAGTCTCAGGTTTGAGTTATAGAAAGACTTATTGGGAGTAACACATATGTCTGATTTTTTTAGATGTGATGAATGATGGAAATTGAGTCGCATTCATTGACGTGTGCACTGTTTTTCCTTCTTACTCCATTTACATAGATGTCACAAGATGGGTGCCACCCTCGTTATTGTCTTGCTCATTATCTATAATACAAAGGCTATCTATCGTTGTTTTTTTCATTTTTTCTTCTGCTTTTTGTTTCTTTTTTCCAATTTGTTGATTATGTGATTAGAACAAGTGAGCCACTCATTAGTGACCTTGAAGTTTTATATAAATATTACCCAGACGTAAACAACAAATTATATATACTTATGTTTTGTCAAGCTCTTGATGTTTGATAAAGGCCTCCAACTATTTTAATGACTTAAAACCGTATTTGGCCCCTAAATTTTAGTCTAAGTTTCAATCAAGCCAATAAAATATCTCGATTTAGCCATCCTGCTTTTAAGTTGTTCCAATTTAAACCTTCATTCCGTCTCCTTAGAAATCTTGATGGAAAATGGATTATTTATTTGATCGAGTTTGTAAATAATCAATTTTTTTTCCACTTAGCAAGAAAAGGTTAATGAGTAAGATTTCATCCAAACTCGATCAAATATTGTGTTCCTCACCCATTAGTTTGCTCAATCAACGTGTTTTCACAAGTTGACTTGCCAAAAAAATATTTGTGATCTTTAATAAGGAAAATTGCACTCCATATCCACTTACCCTTGATCTATCTAAAATGTTTGCTTGTTATTCCATTCAGTAACTTTAGCACCTTTGAAATCCATTAGGATTCGGAACAAAAAGCAAAACAAACAAAAGCAATGTTAGTTGGATAAGCAAATCCACAATAGAGCCAAAAATTGGTAGCATGGTCTAAAAGGGGTAGGCGGTAACTATGCCTAACTTCATGGTTGGGAAGTTAAATCTCGAACGTGAACTCATGACATATCATTTGGATAGATGAGCACGTGGAAAGCAACTGAATTATTGAAAAGATTTTTGAAATTAGGGTCATTATACAAAATTTTCAAAATATTAAATGGGCACAGTGCATCAAGTTTAACAAAGTTGTCATATTTATGAGTAGGTTACTTAGAGCTTAGGAGGGGAAAGTGGCCCCACCCTTATATGTGGTTAACAAACACTTCATTGTTACATTTCTCAAAAAATTATTAACTTGTTTGGTCAAAAGATATACAAATGTTCTTTTCGTTTTTAACTGATTTTAGAATATCTCAATTATTTAATTATTTTACTAACTAAATGATTTGTTTCTGAAGTGGGAAATGCATTTAAAAGAAACTTTGGGCATAAAATAGTTCTTAGTATCAAAGGACCTCAAAGGAGGAGAACGTGCTCAATATCTTCCATCAATGGCAGTTATAGAGTTGGCTAAACGCATTCCAAAACGTGAGATATTTCAAAAGTGTTTTTTCTTCATCTTAAGCCTCAAAAACTTCTTACAATTACAATATTATGAGATGTGGTGTTCTTGTTTTGACCACGGCAGGACGAGCAACCCCGTTGTGTCCGGGGCACCCAATGCAAAGGGCAGTTGGATTGCAACATCCGCCGATAATGGTTATAGAGTTCCACAAGGTGGCCGAACTATTCCACCACTAAGAACCTGTCCTGTTCTTCCAATCGTGTGTGAAGTTTATGATATACATTGTTGATCGGTGGACTCTGTGAATTTATTCTTTGATTTAAGTTGATAAATGAAAGTTAAAACGAAAAGACAATTCAAAATGGTTTACATGTAATTCACGTGTACACTAATAGTTACATTGCAAAGAAATATGTGTTGGTTTGAGAGAGAGAGACTGTGGGTTTGTGTATTTGAGAGAGATAATTGGTTGTCTGATCAAAGATTTGATGGATTGGTGGTGTAGAAGATGTGCTATAATGGTATAATGGATATTGCCATGTGATGTAATTTGGATAATTGATTCAGGGATTCAATTCATTGTGAATCACTTTTAATCCAACGGTTATAACTAATTAAATCTCTCGATTAGGTCTCAAAATTAAAAGTATATATAACAATTTTCTTATAGATAGTTTGTTGATAATTGTTGCTTGATTAAGTATACGTATATCAGGACATATATATTAATTAAGGGTAACTCGTACCTGAAAGAATGGTACAATATGAATGATTTTTATAGGAATGTTGGGGGTCGTTGAATAAGTTTACTTGAGACCGTTGAATGAATTTATTGAAACTAGGAGCCCTATTTTATATTATAGATTAGCCGATGTCTTTGTTATTTCAAAAAATTTAAAGGGTGTCCCATAATTGGACATACTTACAAGGGTGCGCTCGAAATTGATTCAATTTTCAATGCATATATGTAGAGATTACAAAGATTTTATACTAAAAATGTTTGCAATTTATCCACATGTTGATGTGTGAGTTCTAACTATAGTCCATAAGGCTTTAAAGAAAAAGGATATGGACTGGGCCGTGCTAAAGACATCTCTAATACTGGGCCATCAGGACAAATCAGATCAAGGTCAGCCAAGCAAAAACCCTTGGGCTTTTCTATGCACAAGTCGTCGTGTGATAGAGTAAAATGTTAGACTCAACATAATCATAGTTTAAAAACAGCAACAAAATGATGTGGCGTTAATAGATCTTGCTATATAAATCACATGCAATCCAACTAAGCATCAATGCTCTCTCTGCTTAGCAAAACTTCTCATAAAATGTGTTTATATGTTTTTTGGGGAAGAAAGTAAATTCATTCATAACACATGTTGAATTCAAAATTAAAATCAGTTAATAGTCGATTATTTTTTAAATTACTTGAAACGGCCACGTATGATGGAGTTTTTCATGATGACACTTTGCCGAGCAACTCCCATGACTTTCATATAATAGCTTCAAATTATATACTAAATGTAAAAGGATTACATCAAGAAACTACAAGGAAACAACCTTTTGAAAACTACTTATATGGTCTGATATGGAAATAGAGAATAGCTTTGTTGATCTTTTGTTTCAACCGAAACAGTAGTTAGCCAAGTCTTTTTCTTTTTTTTTTTTTGGGGGGGGGGGGGGGGGGGGGGGGCGGGGGAG